CCCATTGCTTCTTGTCCTACCCTCAGGTGCTTTGGAGAATAGCTTGACTCCCTCTTTGTGGCAACCCCTGAGATATTGGAACATTGCTATCATGTTTGCCCTAGTCCTGTTCATCAAACTAGGCATACCCAGTTCCTGCAACCGTTCTTCGTATGTTTCAGCCTAATCATCAGTCCCCTAATCATCTTTGTTGCCCTTCTCTGCACCCTTTCTAGAGTCTCCACATCTTTTTTACATTGTGGCAACAAAACTGAATGCAGGATTCCAAGTGTGGAATACTTGAGCCCTGATGGTTTTCCTGATGGATCTTTCTAATCACAGTTGCCTCTTTCAGGTTGAACAGGGCTCTAACCTCCATGTCTACGGGTGCCGTGAAAAATGCAAGAAGTCAATTATGTCGGCTTCCCTCTTTTCCAGTTCACTGACCAAAGAGGAATTTGTCCGGTGCTCAATGTCTTGTAGTGACATGAATCTGATTTTAGATAAAAGGGAAGAGGAGCGACTCTTGTCAGCTTCCATTCTGTCTGGACAACGGCTTCCAACTCTTCTGAAGTCAGCAAGGGATTTTCTTTCCCAGAAAGATTTTTCTCCCACCCTATAGGTCCAGGGTCAGCTGCTTTGACGCAGGCCAGTGACTTTGCACAAGAGATCCTTATGTGTTATTGATGGAATTCATTCTTGGCAGCAGCATCCCTTGGTCGTGCCCACTGACATCATAGCTGGCAAGCTGGCCAGACAACAGTTGTGTAGTGCTTTTGAAGCACTGATTCATTCAAACTTAGTAGTCATTCTAAGTGCCAAATGATTTTAAAATAGTTAAAAATTGTACTCATGTTTAGGGACATGCTAAAAAACTACGCCTGTCTTTTTGAAAAAGTTCAAGAAGGAAACAGCCCACCGGATTTGCTATTTAAAACCTTTGAAGACCTTTATTTTTCTAAGTAGATCTTAGCATCGCTTTTGAACAATGAGTCACTAAGACTGAATTTAGTCTCAGTTGAGGTGAGCATCCTTAGTAACCCCCCCTCTTTTTTTTTGCCTCAGCCATTTTGCATAGAAGTTAACTGGCCAGTAGCACACATGTGTATTTTGCCAATTTAACCCTAGCCATGTAGCAGTGTGTGTAAACATCCTACACTCTCAGCTGTGACTTTGTGGTGGCTGGGAGAAGGTTGTTTACGCCTCCTGGCATGGACTGGTCCTCTCGGAAATTGTAACCCCTCATTATGACTTGTGGGACTCAAAATGTGTCTGTGCGTAGCTCCAAGCTTATCCTCTCGCAGTTCTGTTTCCCAGCTCATCATTTGGAGGGAGGCAGAGACCCAGGAAAGGTAGGTGGGGAGAGGTCTCGATGGGAGAGTTTGGGTGGCCACATGCTTCCCACTTAAGGTATAAAGTGCTCCAGTTGTGCTGCAGTAGTCATTGTGCTAAGGTCTCATTCTTACCTCTTTCTGTGCTATGAGTACATTTTATTGTTTGCTTTCGTAATCTGCCCCGAGGATCCCAAATACAGGGAGTCCTTGACTTAAGGATAATTGGGGCCAGAATTTCCATTGCGGAGCAAGGCAGTTGTTAAGTGAGTCACAACTGATCTTGCAACCTTTTTTTGTCACAGCTGTTAAGTGAATCACGGCAGTTGTAATATGAATCACATGGTCATTAAGCAAATCAACTTCCCCCATTGACTTGGCTTATGAGGAGTTGGCTGGGAGGGCCACAAATGGTGATCGCGTGTCCCTGGGATGCTACAGCCATCATAAATAAATGCCGATTGCCAAGTGCCCGAATCTTGATCATGTGATTGTGGGGAATAGTTGTAAATGCAAGCACTACTCAGAAGTCACTTTTCCCCCCAGTGCCGTTATAATTTGGAACAGTCGCTAAACGAATGCTTGTAAATTGAGTACTATCTGCAGTTTCAAATCTCACTTAAGTAAGCAAATGGCATTCTTCATCAGCTTGTTGGCCTCCCTGCTGCTGACCCAAAGATTCTCTCAAGATGGGAGAAAGTAAAACAGGCAGAACAGAGCGGAACAGACGGTTGATGGGCAGTGTCCAGAGAAGAGTGCTAGTCAGAGGGGAAGCAAATCTTAACATTTGTATACCTCTAATACTAATTTTTCCATACCTGTTTCCATATTTGCTGGAATCCAATGTTTCAGGCTTTGTTTGCCGTGTCTGACCACCTTCTTCTCCATTGGCATAGGAGGAGGTCCGCCAGGCTGTGACTCCAGCAGAACCCGTCCAGTACTACTTCACTCTGGCCCAGCAGCCAGCAGCTGTCCAGGTCCAGGGCCAGCAGACGGGCCAGCAGACCACCACATCCACCACCACAATCCAGCCCGGGCAGATTATCATCGCCCAGCCTCAGCAAGGGCAGGTTGGTATGCAGGCCTTTCATGGCTCTTGGAGAGCAGGTGGAAAGTGGCATCAGGTGCCCCCTCCAATTTGCGAAGGAGACGTGGGCTGAGATCAAGGCAGCATGTTAAAGTTAACAAAATGCAATGCATGGGGGTATCTTGCAGCATTCAAACAAAAAATTCCCCAAGGTATTGTAACTTAGTATATAGATCAGGTTCTTCCAACATGCTGTGGTTGCATTCCTACATTGTGCTGAATCGCAAAATGCCCAGCCTTGTTTCAGGCTAGCCCTTATTGTGTTATAAGGACCAACCTCATGAGGTTGGCAAAACTGCAAGTCTTAAGACTCAAGTCAACTGCTTAGACTTGCAGATAGAAGAACTACCCAGTGAGGGTGAGGGTGGGGATGGAAGTATGATCAGGTTTCTCGCTGCCTTCCTAAGTGAGAAGCAAAGAAAGAAGACAGCATTTGCCACAGACCCTGTTCTCCCTCCCTGATATTGGCTGGGACTGCATGGAATTAGATTTCTAGCAACATCTGTCTACCTGTATGTTGTCCATGTCTCCTGTAGTTCAGTTATTGGAGCAGATCCATAGGCTGTACCTATAGTACACCAATGAGAAAAAACCAGTGCACTCTTCATTAATGCTGACAGTCATTTTGGAACAGGCAATCCTGGCTGCTCCTGTTTTACAAGGTCAGACTGGAGCTTCCTTTTCATTTCATTCAAGTCCATCTTTGACTGTGGAAACTCCATAGAAGATGTTGGTCACTATTATTGCTTGCCAAGGTTGTCCTCAAGGGGAAAAATTGGAGCAGTGTCTTGGATGCCACCTTGAAACACCGAAGGAAGGACAGGATATATTTTGAATTTTAAAAAAATGAAATAATGGACAATCTTCAAAGTATTAGCACCCGGGTTTTTTTTATAACTGCCCTTCCTGCTATCTTGGGCCTTCTCTGTCTCAAAGATTGTGATACTGAACAGAGGGAGCATTTCCACTTGGTTGCTGTCCTGAGATTGGTTGTCTGGCCCTGGTCATGTTTGTAGCTGATGAATGTATCTGAGATGCCCTCCATTGTCTCTTGTGTGCCTCTCTTCTTTCAGACCACTCCTGTGACCATGCAGGTGGGAGAAGGGCAACAGGTGCAGATCGTTCAGGCCCAGCCACAGGGGCAAACCCAGCCGGCACAAAGTGGGACCGGGCCAACTATGCAGGTCATGCAGCAAATCATCACCAACACAGGCGAAATCCAGCAGATACCGGTGAGAGTCAAAATTGGTCTAAAAGTTACAGAAGCCCTGGGCTTGATTTGAGAAGGGAGTTGTGGATAACTGCAGCAATGTCTCAAGGGAATGGCAAAAAAAATATGGTGGCTATGTTGGTATCCTCTCCTGCAGAAACCCCTGGATGACCAATCCTAGTCCTTTTTTGCTGGCTGGACTGAGTTCAGGCTCAACTGCATGTGTGGCATCTGTATCTTGACTGTCAATTTCTAGAGCAGGGGTGTCTAGCCTTGGCAACTCTAAGTCTTGTGGACTTCAGTTCCCAGAATTCCCCAGCTAGCTATTCTGAAGAGTTGAAGGCTGCAGGTCTTAAAAGCTGCCAAGGTTGGACATCTCTTTGCAGAGAGAAAGCCCGCTCTAAAAAGCAGCTCGTCCAAACCTTTGCTGAAGCCACTTCCCCCCTCCAAACTCGTCAGCACAGTTTCTTGACTTCCTTTCTCCCCTTCCTTCACTCTCATCTTGTGAAACAGTTTTACATTCTATTCTGAGTTAACATTTAAAAGTCACGCAATCACCAGGGACGCCTAGATATTTGCAAAACATTTCATGCTTATTTTCATAATCAGGCCCCTTTTGAAGGTCTTTCTCCAAAGTGCCCCCTCCTGCTTTTCCACTCTTATCTTTAATAAGTGGTTTCCCAGACAGGAGTTCCATGGTGGTGTGCACCAGAGCAGTAAGTCGAAGCCCTTAATGTCTGCGTTGCCCATTTTAAGTTAGTTATTCTAGTTAAAAACTAACCAGGGCCTCTCCTTGCAAACAGCTTTTCTTTCTGCAGGCATATTTCAGTGCCCTCAGAAAGACAGCTGTAAAGAAGTTTTCGCTTGCAGAAAGTATGCATTTGCAACTGGGGGGGGGGGAGCTGCCCTTTGCCTTTAGGGACTGGTTATTTGGAGAGAAGAAAAAAATCCCAGATGTTAGAGAAGTCAGTGGAGGGACAAGATCCAAGGGCTGTAATTTCTGCTCGAGGAGCTTTGGAGCATCAATGACAGATTCTCTAAAGATCTTCCCCACCTGTTCCTTGATTAAAAAGATGCTGTCCTGGGCACAATATAATTGTGTTTTGTACAAATACAGCAGGGCGGACAGGAGGTTAACTATTTCTAAACGTAGTGAGGTTGTTCTAAAACAGAGCTGAGCAAGCATTTTTTTTATGCTGTAGTTTTTAAAACACGAAAGGAAGGAAGAACCTGAGAGATCCAGCAGTGACACCATACCATCGTCAGCGGGTAGATTGAGATTCCTGGCATCGAAATCATTGCCTTAAGCATACACCGGATTTAATGCGTCCATCTTCACTTTTTAAAATCCCATTGTTTCAATTTAAAAAAAAATGGCATTATGCCGTTGAAAATCAATGATTAAATACCCTTTTTTGGTGGAACAGTTCTGAGGGAGTCACAAGGGAGTTGTAATAATCAGAAAATTAGGAATCAAGTTGGATTCTTTCAGGTTTGGAAAAGAAGTATGGATATGTGCACCATAGGTGGTTCTTCGTTCAAGTTTCCACTTAATTTCATCTCAAAGTCTTTACATAGTTGAACTTGTGATTTATGGTTTTGATGAACCAAAATATATATATACAGAAGACTCTAGAAATAAAAACGAAAGTTTTGATGGTAGAGCAGAGGTCTTCAAACTTGGAAACTTTAAGACTTGTGGACTTCAACTCTCAGAATTCTCCAGCTGGCTGGAGGGTTGAAGTCCACAAGTCTTAAAGTTTCCAAGTTTAGGGACCCCTATCATAGAGCATAAGGTGAATTTAGATTTATGCTTATAGCTGCTGTAAAAGAGAATCGGAAGTTAAGATAGCAGGAAGAAGCAACTTTTCCACCCCAAGCACATGTGTTTATGGTTTCATCTTTGGTTCTTATTATGTCATCTTCCTGTATAATCTCTCTCAGCATCTCTGGGAAACGAGAGGCTAGTTCTGTTTTCAGGTGACCAATTCTGTGTCCTCTTTCTCCCTCCTGCTGTTTCTAGGTCCAACTTAATGCCGGCCAGCTGCAGTATATCCGCTTAGCTCAGCCTGTGTCTGGGACTCAGGTGGTCCAGGGCCAGATCCAGACGCTCGCAGCCAACACACAGCAGGTATAGACTGATGTCCCGGGCTTCTTGAGAGAGATGTTAAAATACCCCTGACGCTTTTGAGAAAGGAATTGATTTCTCCAGGGGACGAGGGAGGAGTTTTGGTCTTGAATTTCTGCTGATTCCTGCCCTCCCCCTCCCCCTTTTTTCCTGAATTTTTTATTTTTTGTTCTCTATATACAATTATAGGTATACATTCACATAGTTATTATTCTTTTTTACATTCGTCATTCTTACACATTTGTCATTTCCATTTACAGGGTTATAACATACTGTTCGGGTTGCTTTGTTTACCATTCCTCGCCTGTTTTGACACCACCTTCTTTTCCCTTTCTTTTCTCCCTCCCTCCCTTCTCTACTTTCTTCCTTCCTCTCTCCTTTCCCTTCCTTTCCTTTCCTCTCCCCTACTCCTCTCTTCCTCTTCCCTTTCCTTCCTTCTCTCCTTCTCTCTTCCATCTTCTTCTCCTCACCTCTATCTTCCTTCCCTCCTCTTCCTCTCATCTCCTCTCCTCCTCTCTTCCTTTCTTTTTCTATTGTTGTAGGTGTCTCTTCCAACTCTTTTTTTTTTCCCTTGGGGTGGTATTTCTGCAGACCCCAAA